GAGCGAAGAGAGGTAAAGAAGGCCTCCGGGATGGTTATGGGTATCGTCTGGAATAGGTAAAGGATCCTGGGCAGGGTGTTCATCTTGATGACTCCCACCCTGCCAAACCAGGAGAGGCGCAGTTTAGACTATTCCTCTAGCTGTTTGTGTAGAGAATTCAGTAAAGGGTGGAAGTTGGCCTGGTAGAATAGTGTGAAGTTTTAAGTGATCACCACACTCGTATCAGACCACTGAAACATAAATCATTGTTGGAGGGCCCGCGCCTTGTTCTGTGGGATGGAGACGTTCAGGATATTTAATTTTGTATCATTTATTTTAAAGTTCGAGAGTGCACCGTATTCAGCAAATTCCAACACGATGGCTGGTAGGGATGTTTCAGGATTGGTAATAAAAAACAAGAGGTCGTCGGCATAAGCCACAGCTCGCATCGCCCACCCAGAACCCCAATAAATTGGTATTGCTCCGTATAGCATGTAGAAAGGGTTTGAGGGCAAGGACGAAGAGCAAGGGCGACAGCGAGCACCCCTGTCGGGTGCTGTTGCGGATCAGGAAGGGTTCTGTGAAGACTCCATTGTTACATACTCGTGCTGTAGGTGTTGTGTATAGCGCGCTGATCCAGCCCATCATGAAGGGGCACATGCCCACTGCCCCCAAGACAGAGACAATGAAGACCCACTCTACTCTGTTGAAGGCCTTCTCCGCGCTTAGCTAGGTGGAGCAGGGAGAATGTGCAGATAGTGTTATCCGGTGCCTCCCTCTTGGGGGTGAATCCCACCTGGTCTAGGTGGATCAGGTCGGGTAGGTGGTTCTGCAGTCGTTGAGAGAGTATCATGCTGGTAAGACTTAGGGGCCGGGGCTTTTACCCAACTTAGTGTTCTTCAAGGCCCACGCCAATTCTTCCAGCGTGATGGGTTGTTCCAGTTCGTCTATGGCTTCCTCCATAAGACATTTGCGCACATGGGCCAACAGGTATTGTTCGACCTGTCTCTCTATGGCCTTGTTGGGCTGAACCCCTGCAGTTCTTGGGAGTGAGTATAGGTCCGCGTAGTAGTTCCGAATGGCCTCCGCGATCTCCAAGGATTTTTGTTTTGTTTTCCCTTCTCCCTTTTTGATCCAGGGAATGTAGGTTGCCCAAGCGGGCCAGCAATGCGCCACACTTGCAGGTATGCCCTCTGGTGGGAGGTTTTCAGGATTGATGAGTACCCTCCGCAAGGTTATCGGTTTGAGCCAGTCCACATGAAAGGGGGTCTGTTTATGGCTGGTTCACAGTGTCTTCAAACAAATATTAGAAAGGTGCATTCCTCAGTATGTACCATTGGGTAATATATATAAAAGATACACATTGAAACCAATGTGGCTTAGTAGAGAAGTAAAACAAGAGATTAAAAATAAGAAAAGTGCGTTTAAAGCATTTAAATCAGACAAATCAGTTGCATCCTATATGAGATTAAAGGAAGTCAATAATCCTTGCAAAAAGGCAATTAAAATGGCTAAACTAGAAAATGAGAAATGGATGGACATAGATTAATGAGGATCCCATGGCAAGAGATATGCAAATGATTGCTGCAAAAAACTTACAGATAACTTCTGATTAAAAGAAAATTAATGTAAATAAAGCTCTGGGGTCTGATGGTATTCACCCACGATTACTTAAGGAGCTAAGTGGGGAAATAAGTGAACCTCTGTATTTAATTTTTCAAGATTCATTTGTTTCAGGTATTGCACAGGAGGATTTGAGGAAGGCAGATGTCGTTCCTATATTTAAAAAGGGTTCAAAATCCTTGCCTGGAAATTATAGACATGTGAGCTTAACTTCTGTGACTGGAAAAATATTTGAAGGGATATTAAGGGATAATATTCAGGAATTTATTGGGAAGAATTTGGGAATATTCAGGAATTCATTGGGAAGGGCTATACATAGGACACGGGGTCACACATTTAGGCTGGAAGAAAGGAGATTTACTCTAATCAGAGTCCATACAGATGTTTCAAAAGCAATTGGATAAATACTTCCAAAAACATAACATACAGGGATATAATTTCTGATTAGTGGGGTAATAGTTGCTTTATCCAAGGAGATATCTGACTGCCATTTTCAGGTCAAGAAGGATTTTTTTAATTTGTCGCAAAATTGGAAGTGCTTCAGTCAGGGTTTTTTGCCTTCTTTTGGATCAACAGCAAAAACATATTTGAGGAAGGCTGAACTTGATGAGCGCAAATCTCTTTTCAGATATGTAACTATGTAACTATGTCTGTGATTAGGGACTTAAGCCTTGCAGACTTGTCTTTTTTCAGCGCCGCACCTTTCGTTATGAAATGGCTCTATATAACGCATTTGTGAGCTTCCCACATGCAGAGGAACATCATCTGTATCGCTTTCTGTGAAGTAGTGGTAGAGGTGGTCATGTGTTTCCTCGGTCACTAGGGGGTCATTTAAAAGGGATTCGGTAAGTCTCCATGTATTGTTTGTTGGTCTGTAGAGTGGGGAGGCCAGAGTCATTATGGTCGTTGTGTGGTTGGACCAAGTTACTGTGCCTATTTGGACCTTTGTAGGTCATGTAAAAAGTAGTATGGGAGGAGGAAGTAGTCTGGTCTTGAGTATGTCTGGTTGGGGGGGGGATAGAAGGTAAAGGATGTGGTTGTCACGGTGGCTGATCGGCACCTCAGTGTTACCGCACCTGATCTGTACAGTCACACTATGACAGTGCACAATCAGCACCACAGTGTGGCCACGCCTGATTGGCGCAGTCATACTAAAGGAGGGACAGGTTACTCACCTCACCCCCAGAGCCTCTCCCTCCATGCAGCTTGTGGATAGGCGGCTGGGTCCCGCGTAGGGAGGGACACCAGCCGCTGCAAGGCAGTGCTAATTAATAACGCCACCCACAATGACATCACTAGTGACGTGAATGTGCATGCGGCATCACCTTTTCGCCGTGCATGCGCGTTCTGGGGTCATCACCAGCCAATAGCATGAGTTACTGGGTTATTTAAACCTAAACCTGCGGTTATCCGAGAGCGCGTTCCTAATTCTGATTATTGGTTTTTGATCTTGGGTTGACTTCCCGTATTTCTGGTATCCCTGACCCTTTGGCTTTGTTCTTTCCGTATTTGTTCCTTTCTGTATTCCTGACCTCGACTCATGACTGTTTATTCTCTTACGTTAATTCCGGCCATTCTGAGGCCCGGTAATATGTTGTTACTGTTTGTATTTGTTTTACTTAATTTGGCGTGTTGAGCCACTGGTTCTTCCTCACAGTGGTGTGGCACCGATGAGGATCCGGATGAGGTGTCCAGAAGTGGGTGAAGGGCTATGTTGAAGTCGCTCCCTAACACTAGACAACCCTCTGCAAAGCTCTCAAAGCCGTATGTTGAAATTTGTGTTGGTGTTTGTTGGGGGCATATATGTTGGCTAGTGTGTAGGGTCTATCTAGGATACTTCCTTTTACGCAAACATAGCGGCTCTTGTTGTCACGGAGGACATCTGTGGGTGCGAAATGTAGGGACTTATGTACCAGAATGGCAGTGGTTTTACTTTCCGGGTTGTTGCTAAGGAAACACTGGGGGGTATTGGTGATTTGTCAGTCTGGGAAGCTGGTCATCCTGAATTAATACTATGTGGGATTTCTGGCTATGGAAGTGGCGCAATGCGTGTGATCTTTTTTCTGGCATATTAAGGCCTTTGGCATTAATAAATAAGAGGTTGATCTCAGCTTTCCGATAGGTAGGATTGGTTGGCATGGTTGGGAAGAGAGGGAGATAAGAGTGATAAAGGGAAAAAAAAATGGGGGTGGGGGGTAGGAAAGGTGAGGGTTGGGTGTCCTGGGGTTAGACCTATAGATACCTACGGCGTGGTCCGTGCCCCCCAGTTCAACAAGTAACAATCAAGAACAATTATACCCAATTATAACCAACTTGTTAGGACAAAGGTGTGAGCAGGGTTGGAGTCAAGGGTGCCGAGCCAGTCAGTCCGCCCAAGTCGCCCCGCTGGAATGGCAACACCCCAGTCAAGTGTGGAGTGTGGCCTGATCACTCCAGCGTATACAGGATTAAACCTGGATGGCTGTTTGGCCCCCCACTTCTCTGCTAAGCCACCCACTGCCCGTATCCCCATCTCCCCAAGCCCCCAAATGTCTGGCGGTGATGTGTTGGGATGGGCGGGCACGTCCACAGGTAAGCAAGTTAGGGAGTAGATGGGGTGAGAGACAAAGCGAGGAGAAGCCAAGCTCTGTGACCTACCTGTGCATCCCTATGGTGTGGGGCCCAGGTCTGGGCCCCGCACACTAGGGAGGCCGTGAGCACGGTGATTTGAATCAGGGCTTAAGGGGTGTGAGTGGGGGGATAAGGTCTGCCATGATAGAGTGGGCTCCTGCCGGGACCCTGCCCTCCTTCGTGATAATTATGTGTGTGTGTTGGGTGGACAATCATATTATTCAAAGAAATTGCGAGATAAGTGGCTATGTGGGTGGTGTGGGATATGCATGACATATATGTATGTGGCTTAGTAGCCCAGGTGTCACTGAGGTGAGCTGTGGGGGTATTTACGTGGTCCAGTGTCCTCCAGGCAGGTGGGCAACAGCCAGTCCTCAGCGTATGGCCCCTGCAGGCCTTGTAGCCTCCATCCTTTGCCGGTTCTTTCTATGGGACCTTGACGGTCCCGCAGGTATCAGGGGTCTGTAAAAGTCCAGCAGGTCTGGCTAGTTCAGGTGGAGCGGCGGCAGCTAGAACTCTTCTGTCGTATCCTGGAGATCTTAGTGTGTGTTGGCCGGCTTGGGGCCTCCCTGTTTTAGGACCATAAGCCCAGTCGGGAATGTCCACCAGTATTGGATCTTCTGGGGTTTGAGGGCCCTGCAGTAGGCTAGCGTGGCTGAGCATAGGCTAGGGTACTGCTGGATAGGGTATCCATCATGTGGGATACTGCCCGTGTTGCGTGCCGCCTGTAGGATGTCCTCCTTGAGAGTGTACTGGTATAGACAGCATATCACATCTCAAGGGGGTGATTACGAGTGGCCTTTAGGCCGTAACGCCATGTGTGCTCTCATAAATTCAATTATAGTGTCCCTTGGTCTGTGTAGGAGGCCGTTAAAGGTGGAGGTGAGTAGGCCCTTGAGTTGTTCAGGGGATTCATCCCCTTCCGGTAGACCTCTGATTCTCATGTTTCGGCGGCGGCCTCTGTTGTCAATATGTCTTGCCATCAGCTGCAGCTGTGCCTTCTGACAGTCAAGTGTCGATGTGGTCGCTGTTTGCACCGCCAGGAGGTTGTCGTGGTCGGCCTCTACTTGCGCCATTCGGTCCGACAGCCCTTGGAGGTCTGACCTCATTAACTGAAGATCAGCCCGGATGGAGGCGTTCGCCTCTTTGAGGTCCCTCCTGGTTGGCAGTGCCTTGGCAGCCAGTGCATCGGTGGGGACGCTGGTGGCTCATCTCTGCCAGGTGAGAGTGAAAGAGGGGTCGAGGCCTCCGAGCAGTTCTAGGCCTCGGATGCCGTCTGTGAGTCGATGTCTGCCTCATGAAAGTGTGGATTGCGGCATGACGGGACCCCGATGGTTTGAGGGTACCCGTTTGCTTAGAATTCTTCCCCGTTGTGATGGACTGCCTGGCACCCGGACTGGGTACCTCCGTCAATCGTTGCTTCCTGATACTTGTGAACACCATAAGCACTGCACTGGAAACCCATAACCACCGTAAACCCCACAAACCGCCGCAGCTTGGTTGGTGTCTCGCTGTCCTCCACCCACCCTGGACCCAAGATCAGGATCCAGCTTCCAGTGGGTAGACCTCTCCTAGTCAAGAGAGCGAAGCAGGCTGCATTTACAAGAGCAATCGTTGTGATCCAAGGGAGTATAGCAATCCCCAGGGTGTGAATATAGCTCTCCAATCCCCCAAACATGGCTTCATGATGGGGTAAAATGAATCTGTTTAATGGCAGCCACAACTGGCCTTATTTGCAGGTCCCCATGCAAAGGGCACTCCCCCCTGGACCTGAGCGTAAACTACAGTAATAACATATACAAGATTACATTGGCTCTCAGGTCCAGGACACTCCCATACAAGATAGGTCAATCCTTCCCCTATGCCTGGGATATAATTATAGTGTTATGCACTGTATTAAAATCAATTATCTCCAGGCACAAAAACATACAATTTTACAAAACCCCAAAAATACTTTAAAACACACGAAATCCCCACAAATGTTACATTCCCTGATAGCCCTGATCTGGGTGACCAACATGTCCAAAAATCACCCTGATCAGTTCAGGGATTCAGGAATTTCCTGGAAGTCATAATTTTATCGACCGCCCGCATAGTCCCATGCCAAAAACAGTTCCAGAGAATCAGAGCTTGCAGTCAGTCTAGTTCAGTAGTTTAAAAACGAACAAACTACCGAACAGAGTCAATAGTCTTACCCTGGAGATTGATCCCCTTGTTCATGGGAACATTTCCACCGAACAACGCCTTTCGAAGTGTTGTAGAACCGAACTGGAAGTCCAGCAGTGTTCTGGGAGTTCCATGAGATTCATGCACAAACACCGCTGCTTGCTTTCATTTGAACAAGATGGCCGCCACCTAGTGGTCGTCCGTGGGAATTGCGGCCAACCAGACGAACACTTAGAACACTGCAGTGGAAAGTGCTACAAAGTAGCAATTAGGCTTAACAAGCTCCAGGGTAGTCTCCGGTTCGTGCGGCTGTTCGGTTCCTGATCCAAATATAAAATCCCACAAACAAAGTCTGTTCACATAGTTTTTAAAGGGCCCATAGTCTTTTGGTAAGATGATGGCCAGCAGGCCTCTCCAAGCACAGATGACAAGGCTCAGTTTGTCACACCCATTATGTGTTCTTATTGTGTATTTTCGGGATAGGCAGCCTCGGGGTCGGAGGAGCAGAGTGATTAAGCTGCCATCTTGGTCGGCTACTTGGCCACACCCCATCAATATATGTTTATTTATATTAGATGATCTTTTTATTTTAACAGCAAGATAATCTATTTAAAAAAATAATTCATGTTGTGGTATGATGTCAACCCCATTCATTATATCCCATAATACACAGATATTACATTATTGTTTTAAATTGTTAGCTCATTAGGCAGGGACATGTTTACCTACTGTTCTTGTATGTCAAACATGTTTTATTAGAATTATTTATCTTGGTTTATCTATTGTACAGCACCGTGGATCCTGCTGGTGCTATACAAATGATTGTAATTAAATAATGAAGAAATGATGGTCTCATTTGATATAATACATGATATCCTGTTATGTATCCTATATGAACACACATATACACACATAAAACAAAAAATGTAAATGTCCTTAATTGTCACTTGTTATCAGGCATATAGAGATAGATTAAAGATCTATTTCTCCACAGCAGCAAATTCAACGTCATTATTGAAATTCCCTCTAGATGTCACTTAGGAAAAGAGAATCTAATAGCATTTCAACATTTTCTCTCGCATGACATTGTGATATACATATGTTCACCTATGTACAAAAATAAGCAGGCACACGTGTAAGAATCAGGAGAAGAGCTCACTAGTTCTCTGATGGCTTTGGCCATATGTAAAGCACAGATCATGACCCTATCTAAACCTTACAACAGTATCGGGCTATGACACCGTGAAATTTCTGTGTATTTGTATTAATTTCCTATTTGTGCTGAGCTTTCTATCAAATAAACTCTCACTATGGGGACAAAGTGTCCAGATCAACCAGAAATGACTCAACACTGTCAACTGTCCTGCATACTTCTGGCACCATAACCACTTTAAAGAGGCCTATTGTTACCCTTTAACTCATTTAGCAGTGTTGCAAGACCTGGTGCCTGCAGAATCCAGGCTGTGCTCTTTTAATGATTGTAGAACAATTGGAAAATTGTTTAATTATTATATAATATTTCATTTTAGCATTCCCCTATTTATAATCCTTATATAAAATGCTAATTATATACACCAACATTTTACATACAAACACGTCCAATGTGCTCATTGAAACTCGTAATGAAGGCATCGACTACTGCTTCTGTTGGCTTTTAGTCTGCATTTGGTCAGGTTCGTCACTTAAATGGCGTTATGAAACAAATCCGTCTTTCCTCTTTCAATAAAGATACTGAACGTGGAGATTGGGGTCTTGGGGTCTTGGTAACCGTCAAACAGAGAAACATATTATTTGATCTCTCTATCGCTCATGGACTTTTCTGTACTGCAAATATTATGTGATTGGAACTCAGTTAGGAAGGATAGACAACCAATCTTTGACAATTGACAAACTCATGATCGTATAATTAATCTTTCCCAAAAACTGGCTATGAAAGCAGGTTAGCCTCCTTTCTTCCCCCTTTGATTCCTAATTTTTATGTTTTACATCATTTTGTCCTAAATTGTCATCATACTAATTATATTGTTCACATAAAATGTGAAACACTCTCACTCATAATGTTGCAACTGCTCCTGATAAGGAATGTTTTTAGGGCATGGAAATAGGTTACAATTACAATTATTTATATAGCGCCAACACATTCAGCAGCGCAGTACAGTAGAAAACAAGTAAAACATTGAATTCTAACAAAACAAGTGTGAAATACAGGAATAGAGGAAGAGCTCACAATCTAAAGTAGCACATTTGGATTTATTAATATCTTATTTCCACCAATTTATCTGTACTAACAATAATTTATCAACTGCTAATACTCTTGATAATGTTGCTGCTTTGCCACAAGATATGCAGATGGACATCAAAAATGTTTGGTGACCATTTATTTGCTTCCTACCCACAACGTTCTGCCCGTATTGAAGATGTACTGCTAAATCAAAAAATGGAAGAAGTTCTGGAATTCATCAATTTCAAAAAGTTATTAAAAAATTCAGTCTTTATTGACTACAGAGGAACATAGAAGGCCTGTCTGAAATCAAAAGAATGCATTATTTGGGACATTTAATTTACCCCAAGTAAGTGACAGATAAAACTGTTTGATTAATGTTAGAAAGGAGGTGAAGAATTGTCCGTGGGCATCTGGCTGAAGGAACACCAAGGTTTGGAAAAGTTGTGTGTAAAAGAATTGATGAGATAATTGCTAATTTTAATTGGACACTCCACAGACAATTTACACTTTAGCTTGCTGAAGTGCTCTACTTACCTGGAGTCTGTTAATTTATTGACAATTTATAAAAGTTCTGATTTTAATAGAAGCCAGCTCTTTTTATCATAATGGTTGAAACACCACCCTGGCTGTCTGATTTAGGTACGGAGGATTTCCGAAAGAGCTGTGCTATGCCTGCCTTCCCGCCAAAGAATATAAAAGCCGTGATCACTTTCGTGCGCATGTTTGTAACTCCTGCGAAGTTTCTGATTGGAGTATTATCCAGCACAAATTGAAAGTATGCCCAGGGAAAGAAACAAATGAAAGAGAATTGTCATTAGAGTGTTCCTTTAACCTCTAACAGCTGAAATAGAGACATTCCCATCTTTTTTCCCAAATCGACTATTTTGTCTTCACAATTCCTTTATTATTGTACCAAAATATATTGTTCAGTAAATAACACCAAGTGATTCTCGTACATTCCGGGTATTCTCAAACTGTTAGTCTTTTCTACTTTAGTTGGAAGACAATCGTAAAAAGCTGGTTACCTATGCCTCATGTTCAGCCCACTTGACCAGATTTAGGATGATTCTCCAAGAATTACTAGTCCAGGTGTTCACAAAAATATATCTCATATGCCACATTATGGTAGCCCTCTGTGTTAAACCTGGGTGGTGTATTCACAGCTGGGAGTTATCTGGTCCACTGAATCGTGACATTGGCATTTCATTTGAGTGTGGTATGTGTTCCATGAATTCACTTCCTGAGTCAGATCAATAATGAAGTCAGACATCACTCTTCAGATTTGTGTTGTTTGATCATTAGGTGAATGACCCTAGCATCGAATGTAAACATTCATTATTTTTAGATTATGGGAGAAGCTTTTTAAATCTGTGTTCTCCACCAACCACCAGGTTATTTGCTTGTTCTCATTTCTACTGTATGTGACCAAATAGTACCTCATAGTTCTCATATATTAAAACATAAATATTGGAAGAAACGGGATTACATGTACCGTATATACTCATGGATAAGTCGATCTCGTGTATAAGTCGAGTGCAGTTTTTTGACCAACAATTGTGAAAAATGCTATGGCTCGTGGATAAGTCAAGGATACATTATTCAAATTGAATTGTTCGGCTTCTGTTCGTGAACTTAACAGACTCTGTGTGGTCCCCCTTATTAACACCTCATAACAAGGGCTAGCTATGTGGTGGCTGTATAGCCGTAACACGATTAACCCTTGGCGGCACAGATTTGTTTTAACCATTTGCCCACTGGCTGCTAACTGTGCCAGCATGCAAATAGTGCTTCAAATGTTCAAAGAGGTGTGGCATTGACAGGAAGGGGTGGGGCAAATGTAAATTAGGGTATGCCTGAGTTCCATCATGCAGCACAGATCCAAAATACACCACTGCTAAAATCGGCAAGGAGGTTGGATGGGGCGGGGCCAAACACTGGTTTGGCCAATCAGCACCTCCTCATAGAGATGAATTCAATCAAAGCATCTCTATGAGAAAAATTCAGCATCTCCATGCAGAGCGTGGAGACGCTGAACAGAAGTGATGCACGCTGTGCAGCACTTCCCCAGGAAGCACCTCCAATGGAAAACTGAGGTGTGGCCACTGGAGAAAAGGCAGTGTTTGCATGGAAATGCCTGGAAATATCTGCAGGTAATGATTATACTCACCAGAACAAATACATTAAGCTGTATTTGTTCGGTTGACTATAATGTCCCTTTAAATATTTGGTAGATATGCTCCCACCTGCTGTATGGCAGATAAGGGCAAATGGAGGTTTAAAGCCTCCGTTTTAGTAATTTTCTTATTGACCCTCATAGGGTTTTTTATTTATGAATTCATTTTTACAAATCTTATTAAGCAAGCGTTTAATAACTAACACAATTAACCCTCACATCACCAAGTGGCTGCCAGCAGGAAAGTAGTTTGTACTTTTTTTAAATCCGGGCCCAGATTTGAAGCATTTCCAGCACCCGTTCGGAGCCTTAATCGCAAAATCTGGACATTGTAGAATAACGTAAAAACAATGTCTGAATGTTGCATTTAGACTTTATTGTATAACCCTGTCCGTCAATTTCAAATTCAAGGCCAAAGTAGCCAAACTGAATTTTTCCAGTCGGGCTATATTGGTCTTAAATTTGAAATTCACTATGAATAATCTTTGGATTATCTTATTCTCGCGTTTGTGTCTTTGTGATTTTTGTGTTTATGTTTGTGTGATTATGTCTTATATTTCTGTGTTTATGTGTCTGTCTATATATTTTGTGTTAGTGTGTTTATATCTTTTTTTGTGTTTGTGTTTATGTTTTTGTCTATGTGTTTTCTGTGTTTATATCTTTTTTTGTGTGTTTATGTATGTGTGATATATATCTCTGGGTTTTTTGTGTTTATGTCTTGTATTTTTATCTTTTTATTTGTGTCTATGTGTTTTTGTGTTTATATCTTGTTTTTTGTGTGTTTGTGTTTATGTTTGTCTTTTTGTGTTTATATCTTGTTTTTTGTATTTGTGTTTATGTTTTTGTCTGTGTGCTTTCTGTGTTTATATCTTATTTTTTCTGTGTTTATGTATGTGTAATATATATATCTGGGTTTTTTTGTGTTTATGTATTTGCAGTATATATCTCTGGGTTTTTTGTGTTTATGTTTACGTCTTGTATTTTTGTCTTTTTGTTTGTGTCTATGTGTTTTTGTGTTTATATCTTGTTTTTTGTGTTTATGTGTTTATGTCTTGTATTTTTGCGTGTTTGTATATCTGTGTTCCATTTTACAGCATTCGCAATGTCAGGAGCTGACTATTCTCTGTTTCTGCTCATGTAAAGACTGTGTATATGACTACTCAAATAATATAGGAGATTAATGGTTATTAAAACTTGATTCTGGTATTATTAATGTCTTTATATTTTATTAAACAATGCTATGTGTCTGTTCTCTTCTGCCCATCATATTTATTTAAAAAGAAAATGTGGAGGAATCAAGGCTATTGAGTGGCTGGGTCATTTCATTCAAGTTTGATTTTAATTCCATCTGCCACTATGCTCAGCCAATCTATAGCTGGCTGAGCTTAATGGGAGTTAACTAATAATTCCTAGCAGGGTTGCTTATCCTTGAATTAAGCTCTGCTGCCTGCCTGATTATCTGTAGTCTCACAATGTGCCTTCTAGTATGTAAAGTGAGAATTCAAAGTGAATTTATTGTTTAATCCCTCTCCTCAGCTGATCCTGGTCACTGTCTCTTTAAGAGCAGGTTGTGTATCTGTGGAGGGGCGTGGTTTAGTCCAGCCTCAGCCCCTGTCAGTCTGGTGTAGGGGTGGGGCTTGTTCATGCCTCACTGCTGTGCTGAGAGCTCTCAGTATTAGTCTGGAGCTTCCTGCACCCTGCATCCTTCCTGCCTGGCATGCCAGCACTGGATACATTGTAACCCTCCACCCCCCCATCCTTCCATGGTAGCTCCCCTGGATACATTGTAATAGTACCTCCATGTGATTGGATTCACTGGAAGAGCTCACCAGGTGGGGGGTCCACAACAGGACCACTTTCAAAGTGTTCATTGCTGGCTGTGACTTTGCTGATCTGCACCTCCTGAGCCCCTGCAGGGGGAGGGACCCTGTGACTTTGGATTTAAGGGACAGGAAGATAGCCCTGGGCTCCTGGAAACTTGCTGGGTTCCTGCAGTGTGGATGGTGAGTCTCCAATCTATAGCACTGCTAGCTGAGCAGGTATCTAGTGACAGCTCACACAGCATGCTGGGACAGCTTGACACCCAGCAACTGCATTCACTGGCTGAGGGTAATGGGAGATGGAGTTCTGAACCTCACTGTGTGCCAAGCTGATCCAGCAGTGCCAGACAGGTCTGTAATCATTAGATGCACTCTGACCCTATTGCAGCATCTTATCACTGCTCTGTTTATCACCCTGTTTAACCCCTTTACCCTTGGATCTGTCCTGGTAATGTCAGCATTGAGCAGCTTGGATACAATGGATAAATAATATTAATAATAATAATATATGGGGAGGGATACAGGGAGATGAAGCTGGGTTGGGATGTACAGACCTCTAGCTTTGTATTATATGCTAATATCATCAATATCATGCTCCTTCTTAAATGAAACCCTTAGTAATTCTAATCAACCTCTGTCATCAAAGTGTCTGTTTCTCTGTCTAATCCCTTTCTCCTTCTAATACACAGATAGTGATCCCATTTCTCCTTATTATGTGGGTGGTGGTGGTGGTTTTGAAGGGTGTGTTTGTGGGTACTTGTCTTGCATTTAGAGTGTAGGAGTTTCTTATTCCACTGAATTGCTTTTGTTCTTGCTCCAGATGAATAATACCCTGTTCACAATTTGAACTGACCATGCTGCCATATATGTGTGTGGTTGAATGAAGTACAGTGTGTTTTTTAGTGTACTGTAATGTTTTCTGACTGTGTGAAAATACTTATTATAGCTTATTCACCAAACCGTGAATTATAAACATGAATTTTGGCCACAACATCAAAATTGGAAAAACAGCCGTGTTGGAGAAATCTACCCTTTTTGTACCCATTCTGGGTTTATTGAATAAACTGCTTGGTCTCGTAATGATACAGTGACTTGTAATGAATTGAAAATGAACTCCCCACTGTGCAGTAAAACTAGCTATTTTTGGTCAATATCTGACAGTCACCTTGCTATTAAATTGTCAATTCATTGTTTAGCAATCAAATAAAAAATGCCAGCCCTTATTGAAATGCTTTTATTCTAATATTATATTTTATTTCTATTATTGCATTATTTATTTAGATGTTTTTGAAGAGAAGGCTGATTGCTAATAACATCATGATACAATATATTTACTCTTTAAAACAAGGCTTGCGCTGTTATTTACTGTACGGATTTAACCCTTCACTATCCTGCCGTAGTGTCTATCTAAGGGGTTAAGGCGGGAGGCTAGCGGTTTGTCTGGCTCACAAATATTATGCGATAATCCCTATTTTATTTCTCAATAGAAACCTCATCTCTTAGTGTAGCTCCAGTAACTTGCAATTTGATTTTCAAAAAATATTTCTGCCTGTGTTCCTAGTAGAAGCCTCAGGAATATTTGTGATCCGCTTTAAGTTGATTTGTTTCCAGTCCTTTAAATCCACGTGCGCTTTGGGATTATCTGCTGCTTCAAGTGGAGCTGTCAGAGAGAATATAAGGTAAAGAGAACATTACAGTGAAGATAGCTCTGACCGTATCTGAGTGCTGTGCCCTTAAATCTGTTAGCCCATCATATAACTAGTGGTCCTACAGTTGGCGTCTAGCCCTCTGCCACTGTTGGCCACATAGCCGCTTTAATCAAGTACCATTCCACTCGCTGGGTGATCTAATTACACGTTTGTATATTCTCTGATGATAAAGATACTCTAAGGAACTAGTATTTCTAAGCCTTGGATGCCCACGATATCGGGAAATTTTGGCCTTGAATTGTCCGTACTCTGGATTCATGATTTGGTGAATACAAGTCTAGAAATATATATTTGAAACTAAATCTGAATGGCAAAATGTATAAAAATAGATGGACTAAATAGTAATTAATTATTTTCCCCCCAAATTGACTATTTTCATTCAGATTCCATTTACACATGCTTTGGAGTTTAGTCGCGATCACTGCTTGATGTGAAAACCTAATGAAATAATTTTAAGCTGAAAGATTGATGCTATGTATGTGCATATGTTGGAGATGTCTTGCTTATTTTTGGCTAAAACCTCACTCTTCTCAAACAATTCACTTTTCCGTAAATAAACCACTTTTCATTTTTGCTGCCTATATATAGATCCAAATATGAATGAATTAATCACGGAAAGGATCCCTCAGGCAGGGTTTGGCAGCATGTGAATACTGGAAGGTAGTTCTCGCCAGTCCTCTTCTGCCCCTGTGAAACTCAAAGCAGAATAAGGGAAAAACTGGCTTACATTCAGACTGTTATTGCCATTCCTGTCTGTCAAAAGTGTCTTTTTAACAATTTTTTTTTTATTAGGGCAGTGCATGTTTTATTGATTAATATTTAATGTCAATCCTTATCTGTTGTGAATGGGATAAAATACAGCCCAACACCAGGTAACACTGTGATCCTACACAAAATGAATAAGGGAGTCTAGCAAGTGTATAGATGTTGCCCATCTCATAATGAAATGGCATGAATGTTCAAGATCTGACACCTCCATATCCTCAGCTGTTATAGCTACAAAAACTAATACAAAATTGTGACATCACATGTAAATTTAAATGATTTCAAGAATCGAAATAAATCTTCGTGCTCCGGCTGGTTGGCACACTGACACAAAGACCGTATTGTGCTTTGGGAGGCATTATTAATTTGGCACAGGAACAGGGCAAACATTGGGTTAAGCAACCTCTTACAAAGAAAATTTATAATACTAAGATCACATATTGCGTAATCCAAACAGGCTTTATAACTCGATCGCTGTATGTTTACTTGGTTCCCAACCAATTCCTCTGTGGGACATTTCCTCGTTTCTATTGACATGACCGTCAACATTCATCGTACATAAGGAGGCAAGGGGGAGTAACAGAAAGGTATTTCTTGGGAAGATTCCTTCGGTATCAATGGGCATTGGTCCACTTCTAGAACGCTTCCTTATTGGTTGTAAATCTCTCCTGGAGTTCTTTATTGGAATCTACTGAGTCAGCTGGAAGACCAGTCCCCATAGAGAATGCTCGTCCTGTAAAATGTGTAGAGTTGTACATTGTATCTGCACAGACGGTGTGTCATGGGCCATAGCACATCCTTAATATTTTAAAACAAAAAATAGTGGAGTGTGTATAAAACCGTAATAATCATATCACCTAAACACAACACTGTGACTGGATACAGAAGTCATTCAAAAGTTGACCCTAATTTTCCTTATACGTAGATTCAAATAGACATAGCTCTGTGTTTAAAAAGCAATATATAACAAACAGTGTGACACTGGTTATAATAACTGAAATTGTGATAATTGTGCTGATATCCGACTCACAGAGACTAATAAATGCCGGCTCTGGGGTGTAGTGCTGTAGGTGTCGTTAATACTGAATGATGGCTACACTATATTACCTGCGGGGAACCCCGTGTATGCCTTTTGGCTTCAAACTGATTATTGTGGAGAAGCTAATCTATCTGCTTTATCTAATGATGTGAAGAGGAGCGCTGACCCCACTCCCACATCCAGTGTTTTTACTCTTTTAAACTCAAGAAATCCAATGCGGTATTTGGAACATTGTGTCTGTTCTTGCATTGGTGAATTTGATTTTACTACATACCATTTGCAGATTGCCTGTTTTCATGTAGGGAATTCCAATAACCGTATGTGTCTATATTAGACAGGAGGCTGGTGGAATGCCCCTATAGTGCCTACTGCCTGTGACAGAGAGATTTGGGTTCCTCCTATATAGACACTTTATTATTAATAATAATATAATATATTATTGGGTATTTATAAAGCACCATCGCAGTCTGTGGGTACAATTGGTACCAGTTAAAAGACAAAGTTAAAAATGGTCCAAAATGTAGCTGCAGTAAGAATTCGAAGGTTATGTTTAAAACGAACGGACAAGCTTTCAAATGATTAAAAGATTTTGGTAAATGTGTAATTTGCCTAGCTATGTTCCTATTGGTCTAAACCCTATTCTATACATAACCCTCAATTGTTCAAAGGCTATGATTTGTGTGATTGTACCTTCTACGTACTGACATTTCACATGTATTTTCCATTGTGAATGTCTGCACTTGATTTTGGCAATCCCTATGGTTACGGAATCTGTGTGCCCCTTATCTGTGGATTGTACGTCTGGTTTTCTAAACCCGTTGAATCTTGGATCTGTATTAATTACCACCTGTACAGTTCACAACAAGGGAACTCTTGTAATTAAAGATAATTGGGAGTATTGCACAGAGGTGACGTGGCTAGTTTTGCAAGTAAAGTTATTTAATTTACAAAGTTCTATTTCCTTTTATTGTAATTACACCAAGGATCGCTTTCACAACTTTTGGGGAACATTTCTCCCACTTCAGATGTGCTAATAATGGTCTGAGTTACACTTTTACAAGTTTGTCATTTGTAGTTTCTTCATAAGTGACCCAGATGAATCCAAATTCAATGTGAATTGCTGTATTAAAAACATTTTCTCCCTCCATCTTATTAACAATAAAACAACTTTTTAATCCCTTCTTGAATTCGCACTGACTATACTTTCTGTCATTACAGAGTGTGCATTGCATGTTTTTGTTTTAAGTCAGATTCCTAAATCTCTATCCTAGATAATCATTGCAAGGAATAAAGACTAATAATATAAAATATACCATATAATTTTCCCCTTTACTAATTGAAATGTAAGAAAATGAATAGTGGAATTTAAAAATTGTACCTTCCCAAAAATCATGTGGCTTGCTCGTGTCTGCAGCCACCCCTCGGATGTCCAGCTGTACTTTCTGTGCCCACATTGAGCCGCCTCGCTAACTGTGTTGTATAAATAGGACAGGTGTCTACATGCTCTAGACCAGAGTAACAAATTATGCAAAAGAATGCAGTCAAAGTTTCACAGGGGCGCTTGGGGGGGAAAAAAAATCTAAAACAAACAAAAAACAAACCTGTTTTATTTGCTGGATTCTGCACTGTTTAGTGGTCCTTGTGGGTTGTTTTTATTACACCTTTAAGCAGTAACCAAGACTAAACATGTAGAGACAGTCTCTGTTCTGGGTTAAACATCTCTGGATTGCTTGTGCTGTCATGTAGTTAGTTCTAATGTGTCTCCGGATTGCTGCGTAGTTGTGGAAGCTAATAGGTAATGTTGGTAATCTGCACATTTTATGATTTATTATATATATATATATATATATATATATATATATATATATATAATATTGTTTGTTGTTTTTTTAAAAAATTTTTTTTATATTGGAGGCTGTTTGATGGGAGACACACACGCAATATTAAATATTGCCATTACAGAACACAATGTGTTCTGTGTCAGTCACGCTAATGTAAGACACAAGGAGCAGTGCAATGTCCGGTGGAGGGGAAGTGCGTTTTATTATTGTTACATATGTAAGTGGCAATTATGAAGATGATAGGAAGCCTATAATTACGTATACATTGATTCTTGCAATTATTGATGGTCTGCCGTTATTTCTACAGACTACTGCGATATCAGATTGTCGACTTCGATATTATGCAACCTTTTAGAATACATAGATCGGTCTGTGTTCTTGGTTACAGGTAAACATTCAACATTGAAAATGAAAATACTGTAGTGAAAAAGGATTAAACCAGAAAAAATATAAAATAATTTACACACGGGCCCCATTTTCATTGGATTTTACCGTAGGCATAAATAAGGGTCTGTGGCGGGCTTGGGAAGCTGTATCTTGAACAATTGAAATAATTTGAGGTTGGCTGAGGTTTATGTGAGCTGTTACTTGTGTTAAAAGGTGTAGATGACGCAGAGAGGAGCTAGACAGGCAATGGGAGTGCAAACCAGCAGCTATGTAGCTTGTCTTAAAGGACCACTTCAGCTCAATGAAGTGGTCTGGGTGCCTTCAGATGTAAATCTATGCGAAAATCGCATTCAGCATGCAGAACATCCATAGGAAAGCATTGAGAAATGCTTTCCTATGGGGGTTTTTAATGCGCGCGCGACTCTGGCTGCGCATTCCACTCCCCTCGGGAGCTAACGTCGGAGTGGGAGGAGAGGTCACCGGTGCTGAATTAAAGTAAGTAGCTGAAGGAGTTTCAACCCCTTCAGCCCAGCGGGAGGGAGGCCCTGAGGGTGGGGGGTACCTAAGGGTTATATAGTGGCAATGGACCAGGCCATTATTTTCACTAAAGTGTAAATTGTCAGAAATTCTAAGTGAATTTTCCAAATCCTCTTTATTGCAAGTTAAGGAATTTAGCTTAAAATATTTAAATTTCAAATTTAAAGGACCACTATAGTGCTAGGAAAACATACTCGCCCCCACTCTCAGGGCCCCCCTCCCGCCGGGTTATAGGGTGAGGAAGGGGTTAAATTTACCTCTTTCTCCAGTGTCGAGCGGGGGACTCTCCTCCTCCTCGGCTGAATGTGCATGTGCGGCACGAGCCATGCGCGTACGCATTCAGCCAGTCTCATAGGAAAGCATTCTCAATGCTTTCCTATGGATGCTGGCATCTTCTCACTGTGAAAATCACATTGAGAAGCACGGAAGTGCCTCTAGCGACTGTCAATGAGACAGCCACTAGAGGCTGGATTAACCCATAGGTAAACATAGCAGCTTCTCTGAAACTGCTATGTTTATAGAAAAAAGGTTAATCCTAGCTGGACCTGCCACCCAGAGCACTTCATTAAGCTGAAGTGGTCCGGGTGCCTATAGTGGTCCTTTAAGGCCAAAATATCGTAAGTGCCTCCACTGAGGCACTACATACAGGGCCCCCATCAGGGCGTGCAGGCAATCAGTTTTGTTATTGCTGACTTTTCTATTTGATTGACATCCTGCTCATCAATCCAGGGCTCTCGGATTGTTTGGTGATTGTTTGCAGTTATCCAGCACCATGCAAGATACCGATTGTCCATTAGGCCTTGACAAGAGGTTTCTACTGCAGCGATATCTTCTTCACCATGACTGTGATAGGGGCCCAGAAATCTGGCTACTGTATTCTACCGCTTACTTTCAGGGGATGCTCGTAATATACACCGAAAAGAAGACCTACTTAAGATCTTTGCTAGGTCACTAATCTATGTTCAGGAAGTTTTCCCCAAACTGATTGTTTTAGACCAAACCAAGTGTTTGCTTCAATATCTGCCCCTGTTCAGATTGTTTAAAATAAGGTGTGTGCACGCTGAAGTAAATCACACTGACAACGAGTTTCAGATTAATGAAAAACTTCGGAATGTTTACTTAGAGGGGCGACGAGCCTCTTATAAAGCACAAAATACATATGCAAAACATGAGAACATGAAAAGTACATTTTTAATTGGTCAGGTGTTAAGTGTCTTATCTAATGAACTTCCTCCAAAGTGTGATGTCACCATCATCTCGGGATTTTACTCCGGATGGAGACGCCATCTTGTTACACGAGGTGTTTCGGTCGATGGGAGGGGGGTGCTCTAGCAGCCTTTTTGAGTAAATGATGAGCACAGGTGTACACAGTAAATAGACATTTTACCTACATTAATTTCTATCCATAACAAGATTCGCGGGATTTCGTGCGCTAGAGAATTGGTCTGTGTCTGTGGGAATTCCATGAACGAAGACCTGCTTTCTTGCTAGTGCCTCCTTACTTACCTGCAAACTCGCTATACGATCATGTCATAAGAACGGAATCTGGTTTGTAAGTGAGGAGTGTGTGTGTGTGTGTGTGTGTGTGTATATATATCCCCTGAAAATAATCCCTAATGTGTTCTTTGAAGCAAGGATTACAATAAGATCTACAATTAGAGCTACATTCTAATTAAACATTAATGCATTTCATGTGATCTAGATTGGGGCTGGAGTCTCTTCCCCTGCGTGGTGTGTGTGTGTGTGTGTGTGTGTGTGTATGTATATATATATATATATATATATATATATATATATATATATATATATATATATATATATATATATATATATATAAATTTATTTTAAATAGGAGCTGCAGTCTCCCCTCCAGATCGCCTACTTCCTGCGCATGTCTGATGTAGTGATAGGAAGTCCGAAACATTCAGATGAATCGGTTAATTTCGGACGGTTTGTTCAAATGAACCGGATCCTGAACCAATTGGTCAGTTCACTTACCTGACGCTCAGGTCGGGGCTGACTGATTCGAGTATATCACAGAGTTGAACAGCAGTAGGAATCCCAAGTCTATCCACTAAAGGGTGAATTGCAGGAGAATTTCAAAATCTAGGTTAAAATAACCAAACTGTAATAATTCTCCAATATAACTCAAACTTCAAAATCCACTATTTTGGTCTAGATTTTACAATTCACATGCAATTCATCCATTACTGAACAGTCCTGTCAGGCATAGTAATGTACAGTGTGTGAGTATATCACAGAGCTCCACACTGCACAGCTATTAAACTCACAGTAATATACAGTGTGAATCACAGAGCTCCACACTGCACAGCTCCTCACAGTAATATACAATGTGTGTATCACAGAGCTCCACACTGCACAGCTATTAAACTCACAATAATATACAGTGTGAATCACAGAGCTCCACACTGCACAGCTCCTCACAGTAATATACAGTGTGTGTATCACAGAGCTCCACACTGCACAGTAAGGGGTGGAGTGAATAAGTGAATCACGTTATCAAAAGGTTAATTCTTTGGGTGCTGACAGTTAGAGGAAGTTTAGCAAGAGTCCTTAGGGTTAATCTATGATGAGAAGTAATTATGATAAAGGTTCATTAGAGGTGTATTTAGCGATGATGGTGTCCAAAGGGAATCCAAATATCTGGGACAGTGACGGTTAATCCTGTATTTAGTTATAGAGAGTAGGGGTCAGGGGGCTGGGATTAAAATATATGGTGTGTGTATTAAATACGACATTTTAATGTAAAATAACATTGATTTACAAATCTTATTGAGGAGAAGGCAATCAGATCACAAAGGGTTAAACCATCAATCTAAAAAATGATCTCCTTGGATCATTAAGTATAAAAAAAACAAAAAAACAATTCAACCCTTACCACAACTGCAACCTGATTATTGATTGTAAAGTTCTACTGACGACTTGAGAACTGCTTCTGATCAGATCTGTGAATCCATTTACTAAAAAAGGGAACTGTTTCAAACTAATCAGTTCACTCCAAACTGATTCACCAAGTTCAAATCAATTAATGGGTCACAAACTGGACGTCCCTGGTCTCATGATCCAGGTAGAAGCTGCCGTCTCCCCCTTTAGACTGCTTCTTCCTATTCATGTCATATGATACGTGTTCATATCTATCTCAAGGTGAATATACTGAATTTCTGCCATAATGAGATATTGAATATTTGACAAATGGTGATCTATTCGTGCAGAAAATACGTGTTTTGGATTTTTTACTTCTCTCGTTTCGACAATTTGTAATCGCAGCCCCCTCTCAGGAAGAACCGATGAAGCTGGCTTCCTGTAATCTCCAGTAAAACCACTCGCATTTCCCATTCTCATTGTGTTCTTCTCAGAACCTGCAACTCGTTATCTGTCAGTTGATTGTCGGCAATTCTAACCATTCTGTGTCCTGTGTTTAAAGCAACACTGTCACATCGTATTTACCTTCCTACTCGCTTTCTCTCCCTATTTCCTACCCTGTCTTTCATTTTTAAACAATTTCTAACTAAAAACACAAGACAAATTAGGGACTACATTGTCGTATGTATTTTTCTTATGCTTCACCTTCTTAGACATCGGGCGAAGCTACAGTGTCAAACCCGACAGTCGTCACCAGCCTAGAAAATGTTTATTTTTTTTGGGGGGGTCGTTTAGATGGCTAGAAAGCCATTAGAGATGAATCCAGGGTGATAAGGCATTGGGGGTCTATAACTTTAAAGCATCGTGTTTACTGGTAAGAATCCACAATTATTAGTAGAACATTATGTATAAAGTTGTCTTACAGAATTATTTACCAATGTGATAATTTAAAGTGAACCTGTTGTGTAAAAAAATAACTTGCCTTAAATACACTGAATAATACGATATTGCAAAGATACCTGATATATTAAATGTGAAATATCGAGACGCCAGCGTGTCTGCGCCATTTGACGCCTTGAATTCTCACTTTAGTGAAAAAAAAACTGTAAATATTGCTTATGTGTTTTTTTTTTTTTTTGTATTGTTTTTTTCTTTCAACATTGGGAGTTATGAGATCAAAACAAATGAATGGCTGAGCCGGAGCAGTCAGCGACACATATTGAACTACCGTATTTAATCTAATCTAATACGCCATCGAATCTAATGCACACCTTAATTTTTTAAACCTGGAAGTTGAAAAATGTTTTTGCTGGTGAATGTAATGCACATTTATACAAGAAGATATTCCTATACAACATTGTGCTACAATGAAAATGTTTATTGCCGTATACCATCGTAACATTGAGGGTTTTTCAATTTTAGTCTTGCATGTTAAGTCTATTCTTTCTTAAGCCCCCTTTCAGGAATGGAATTTGTTTGTTTAAATTGACCAGTTTTAGGTCGCCTGTGTAAAAATTCGAATTTTACACCAAATGTAATGCACCATTGAATCTAATTTGCAAATTTTGGTAAACATAATTTTCCAAAAAAAGTGCGTATTGGATTCGAGTAAATTTTATTTATTTAATTTATTTTACATCTGGTAAAATGCTCAAATACTGGTCTGTCACCCCTGATCTGGCACTGCTGGATGGGATGTATAATCCGCTTTTTATTCTTAGATTGTGACACTCACCTTTTTCATTCAGAGAATCCAGATCAAACATGTTCCTCTATCATATCTGTTTTACTTATTCGTTATCAACGACCAGAATTAGATGATTTTCTATGCCAGTGACCTGGTAACAATAACCGTTTCTAGAGGTAGTATTATATATAAAAGCGACACTAATTGCAAGTTGCGCTACATTCTCACAGCAAAGGACTTAAATTTAGACGTTTAATAGAGTTAAGCAGTTAATGTGTTCTGGCTGAGTCAGTCAATACTCTCCAGGAGTACGGACTTAGATGGATTTCTAGTAAAAATAGAAAAAGTAGAATTAATGAAGTTATTAGCTATTGGGCTCAATGTATGATCCAGAGTAATAAAAAGATACTTCCTGGATTCGTCATTTACTGCTAAACTGGAATTGTGGAAAACTTGCAAGGGGGAATGCAAGTTTAAGTCCAGAAAATTGCTGAAAATAGCCCAAATATGCATTCGCTTTTTAATTTCCAAACAGTTCCTGTTTTTCTAGATAACCCTGTCTGTGCTTTTGTTTTTTTACTTCTGGACCGCAAATCTTAATGGATCTATCTTTTTATTTTTTTTTATTTTTATTCAAGTTCATTAACTAAATTGCTATAATCTTTCATTTCTTCAGTGTTAAGCAGTGTAAAACAGAGACAAACTGAGTTTGTTTACGTTGGGGAACGAGGCGCCTACCAGAGAATAATTGCTATATACAAGGTCAATTTCCATAGTAAAGGTCGCTTACTCAGACATTTACAGGAGATGACATGGGGCAGTCTATTAAAGTTGGAGGAAAGGAGATCTCTGCATCGGAAAGTTTTTTTTCTTATTATTTAATAATACAGTAAAGACAGGAATTTACTGCAGAATGAAGTGGTGTTAGCAGATTCCATTCATGCTTTTAACCCCTTAAGGACACATGACATGTGTGACATGTCATGATTCCCTTTTATTCCAGGAGTTTGGTCCTTAAGGGGTTAAAGAGAAAATTTAACTCAAAAAAGCAATTTTTTTGCTTTGATAAACTAATAGGGGTAAAAAAAAAAAAAAAAGTCCTATCACATAGCAAAAAGAAAAGGGCAAAAGCGTTAAATGGACAAATGAAAGTACCCTCTCTGTGCAAGACCAACCAGGGTTCTCAAACAGTTCCATTCTGTAAATATTTGTGTAGTTATAAAATGTAGCAATGACTCGCAAATGATTAATTATTTCACATTTTGTTTCGTCTATTTTTTTTTCCACTTTATTTTCAAATATCTCATACTTTTACTCCATTCCAATAATAAGGCTAAAGGTCTGTAGAAGGAAATAATCAAATATCTTACAGTATATCTAATTGGTAAGTGGTAATTTATTTATTTTTTTTGTGTTTTTTTTTTTTTTTTTATACATATGCATTTTTTTTTTTGGCTTTCCATGTTTAATACTAATTGAACCCACATGATGTATTGTCCCCAAAGTGCAATTCCTTATTTCACTGCTTCCAAAACAAAAATGTTGTTCTAACTTTCCAGCTGCACAGGCAGCCAACGTGTTACTTCCAGTAAGTGGAAGATTATGTGTTATAATATTCTCTTAAGCCAGGACAGGCCTAGCATGTTTAAAGAGACAGAGCTGGGAGTTTGCTAGACTTCTTTGAGCAAATACATAACAATTGTACCGGTTTCAGGACATGATCTTGAAATCACTAACCTATAAAGAATGTGGCAAAGCAGGAGGAACAATCTGTAAAGTAAATTGGATCCGATTCTGGAGACCTTCTCAACAGACCTTGAATCAGCAAATTATAGGACTAGTGGTGCTTTTGCTAAGCATGCAAGGCTGCTGTACCCAAACATGCTGTGGAGAACTGACGACTTGCCTGGAGTTGGCCTATCAGTGGTCCCAGAGGGGCTACTTCAGATATCTGCTAGTGCCAACCGACGTTCACGTGGTGATTGCAGAAGAACTCTTCCTCCATTCTAGACGGCGATAGGCTAGAGAAAACACAAAAGATGCACTACCAGAATTGTTCAAGATCTGCATAATAACCTATCCAGAGAGAATGGAAGTTCTAGATTGAAGCAGAGAAGGGATGGGGGCTTGATAGAAAGTTTCAAATATTGCTCTGGTTTTACCAGAATACAATTCCCATTAAAATGACAATATCTAGAGAAATCAGACCGAGCCTGATGTTGAAGAGGAATTTCAATGGGAACATCAAGGGTTGTAGATGCATTTGTGCATTTATTCCAATGCATCTACAACCCTTAATGTCTGTCCGCCCCCCCCCCCCTTTTTTTTTCTTCTTCTTCTTTTATTCTTCAATTATTTTTTTTCTTGTGATATCCTGATTATTAGGAATTTAATAACTCTATGATTATTTTTGCCTACAGCTAGTGGTTCCCAAACCAATTGTCAAGGCACCCCTACCAGTCCAGGATTTAGTGATTACCCAGTTGTATCTAAGGTGTTTATAGAGAGAAAAAAATTGCAAGGAAAGGTTCAGATAAGTAAAACCTACCTACCCCTGCGTCCCTCGGCTACAAGCTGACAGTGCCCCTTTAAATATGGTTAAGCGATCCATTTAAAAAATTACATCTTTTTGTATTTAGATTTATTTTTCTTTCCTTCTCTGTATCAATTGATAATTTAGTGCATTATGCTGAACAATGTACTTAGAGACTACAAAATAAGTTTAAATACTAAACCGTAATTTGTACTAAATTAAAATTAAAATTTAGACCATTCTAAGCCATTTGACAATGAAGCTTCTCTGGAGTCTTTTTTAAAACTTTGCCATTTTTGTCCAAATAAAGTTCATTTATTAATTTTTAGTTTTATTAGTGAATAAAACCCAATGATTTATCACACATATTAAAGGAGTACTATAGGGTCAAGAACACAAACCTGTATTCCTGACCGTATAGGGTTAAAACCACCATCTAGCCACACTGGTCCCCTCATGCCTCCCTAAATATAGTAAAATCTTACTTGTATTCAAGTCTGAAGCTGCTTGCTTTGTCCCTGTTTCCTTTAGACCTGCCCACTGCCTGCTGACATCATCAGAAGTGGGTAGCCTGATCCAATCACATGCAGACGGAGGAGACATTGAATGTTTGGATGCATTTTAGGCAGCCATGACCCAGGAAGGATCTCTAACAGCCATCTGAGGAGTGGCCAGTGAAGTTATCACTAGGCTGTAATGTAAACACTGCATTTTCTCTGAAAAGACAGTGTTTACAGCAAAAAGCCTGAAGTTAATGATTCTACTCACCAGAACAAATTCAATAAGCTGTAGTTGTTCTGGTGACTATAGTGTCCCTTTAAGCATATGTTTAAGGCTGAGCCATGTATGAACATGTCTCCGGTAGCTTGGATATCTATTCAATCTCAAGGTGTAGTGATTTTGTAGAACACTTTGAGCCCAGGTCGAAAGAATGCAGAGTTTCCCAGGTAGTCCAGGGAAAAAAATAAAAATAAAAAATACACACCCTCACTTTCTTATGTAATCTACACTATTATATAAGGACTCCCATGAGAAAAGTAGCAGAAAGCCCAGATAATTATCTAGTTCTGTATGAAATTAAACATATGGGGCTTGGCGGGCTGATATGAGGGTGTTCCTGTGATGCAGTTTGTTCACTAGTGAAACTTGTGGCCGTGAAAGGAACATATCGTCCAAATGTACTGCGCTACAGCCAGTCGTGCTCTAGTATGGGTAAACACGTCCTGGAAAAGCCTTGTGCACGTGTGTTTGACACCATGTTCACTATGCTTTTTAGTGTTTCTTTTTCCTCACGTGTAGAAGTGAGACTCCAGAGGCGATCCCTGTGATAGTCTCAGGGTTCCTGATTCATGACTGTCCAGCTAGATACAGAACTTTTAGCAATCTTGTTACCTGATTTTTATATCTGCTAATTTTTTATTTTTTTATTTATATATATATATATATATATATATATATATATATATTTTTTTTTTTTGCAGCTTTTCACATAATCTATAAACAATAACCATAAATAATAGGGGAATGTTTGCAGAAACCAGCTTATTAAAATAGTTAATTCAGAAATTAAAGAGACTCTCCAGTGCCAGGAAAGCAATCCATTTTCCTGGCTCTGCAGGTCGCCTCTCCCTCCCATCCCAGGTTGCTGAAGGGGTTAAAGCCCCTTCAGTGACTTACTTGTATCCAGCGCCGATGTCCCTCTGCGCTGGTTCAGGGTCCGCCCCCGCCGACGTCATCCGGCGGGGGAGACCTAATGCACATGCGCGGCAATGCCGCGGATGCGCATTAAACCTTCCCAAATACTTTCAATGCTTTCCTATGGGGATTTCAGCGACCCTGGAGGTCCTCACACAGCGTGAGGACATCCAGCGACACTATAGCACAGAAAATCTGTGCTATAAACCAGGAAGTACCCACTAGTGGCTGTCTATGAAAACTGCAATATTTACAGCTGCAGGGTTAAGGGTAGTGGGAGTTGGCACCCAGACCACTCCAATGGGCAGAAGTGGTCTGGGTGCCTGGAGTGTCCCTTTAAGTAGTCAACTGTATTCGCAGAACTAAAGAAAAATTTTATAGCGTGTGGCCAGAAAACAAAGTGGAGAAGAGAAGGGAAAAAAGTATATAAATTAACAAATAATACGGATTTATTAATAATCCACAGCACCCACCTTGACTCGCCAAAAGGCCTCAAAGTCAGGAAATCACATTGAGTGAAGGAGAACATGTCTCAAAGTAGACCAAATCCTCAAATGATCCGTTTTTATTGTGCATTGCGCCTGTGATCCTTGGTAGTGCCAAAAATTGGGGTGTGAAAATGAATTGTAAACTAAAAAAAAATAATAAAAATTGTGCAACAAATTCTGCAACTTTTGCAGTGAAAGGCTCAGAATGGACAAGACGTAATAATGGCTAAGAAAAATAAAACAACTAACATTATCAAAATATAAATTTCTACAGCATGAATGTTAACACGGTCAGGGTTATTTACTCAACAGAGCACTGTGGGAATTTTTCTAGTATGGCTATGAATTTGAAATTTACTTTGAGTTCTAGACAATGCTCCCTTTATTGAATAACTGTGTGGTTTTGTTTTCTTTCTTTTTAATTTATCTTATTTTATTTAATATTTTTATTATTATTCAGAAATGTATTGTGCAGACGTACAATATATAGATGGGGGTAACCTAATTACCTTGGATGAGACAGAAATGCCAGACTGATGCATTTGCAAACGCAGGATGACTTTGACAGGCTGTTAACATAATGTTGATTTATTATAAATAAATGTGTGCAGAATATTATTATTATTATTATTTTTCTTTTCACTATTGTATTTTGATAGCGACACTCCTGAATAATGAATGACCATGCTGGGTGCGCTTGGCACGTAGTGATGGTGGATAAGTTAATGATGTGATATGGGAACAAGCAATAAATTTTGATATTCACAATCCACCCAGGGTTATTCGCAAAAATGCCAATTGCCAGGAATTGACCATGGAAATGCAAATTTTACGGTCAAATTCACTACCTGCAAAATGGCTAGGGACTTACAGGAAACTGACCAGAGAACTGTGAAATAAAAAAAATAAAAAAATGTCCAAATCTGAAAAATTCTCCTACAATGCCATTTATCATAGTTGGCTGTATTAGCCTGGCATTTGCAATTATATTAATAAATCTTCACAGTTTAGTGAATAAACCCCCTTTGTTTGTCTGTTTAGTGCATGCTCTGATTCCACGTCATGAAAAGTCAGCGTCTAGCAGAGACCTCAGCCATAGGTCTAATACAGGTTGGGCCAAAATTCAGAGTAGGATTTGACAAGTAAATAACTTATTTATTAATAGTTACATTTTCACAGGAAATTTCACAAAGTAACAAAGAAGAAAAATAGTGAATTTTAATTTATTTATTTTTAAACAAAATTTCAGGTTCATTATTTTGACGCAAAGAGCTTACCACCGCCACGTCAATGGTTTTAACAGAATGGGGCTAGTACCAATGCAGCCTGGGCCCCAGTGGTTCTCGCGAGACAACTCTTCGATGAGCTGATAATATCAAGGAATTCTTAGATTATTGGTCGCCACATTCGACCTGACCTTTTAGCTCCAGATTACTTCCTGTGTGGATATCTGCAGGGGCGAGTCTACGTGAACAAACCGCGTATACCTGAGAAGCTCAAAGAGAGTATCTGTGCAGAAATTCGATCGTTAGAGCTGGAAACATTAACTGATGATCTGAACAATGCAATCGAAAGAGACCAACTTTGCGTTGTGGCAAACAGAGCTCATTTAAACGATGTCATCTTTCATACTTGTCCAAAGGTGATGACTCCCCTGTCTCCAGTGAATATACTGTAACCTACTAGGGTTCTGATATTAGAAAGCACTCTAATTCTCCTACATTGATTGCCTTAATCCATGCAAGGGCAGTATCTGCAGGTCACTTTTTCTATTGGTTCACAGTTATGCATTTAAAAAGGCTCCCACTACAGCAAGCATGTCAAAATTGAGCCGCAGGCTTGAGACCTAGTAGGTACCTGCTCTCCCCACATTGCAGGTGCCTACTCTGCTAAAATTTATCAGGCCGGGATGAGACGTCACTGGTGGAGCTCAGTCTGTTCTTCCTCATGCGCGCCTTCTGTAGTGATGCCGGGACGACAATATGACGTCATTCCGGCATCACTAAACTGCTCCCGTGAGGAAGCAGTGAGGAGCAGGAAAGAAGACCCCAGGGAGTGGCCCCACACCAGTTCCCAAAGGTATGGAGCAATAAATAAAATGATTTGTGAGTGTGTGCAAGAATGTATAAATGTGTGTGTCTGTTGGTCAGTTTTGTGATGGCCGCGGCTGGACAGTGGAGGACCTGGAGGTGCACGGAGGCAAGCAACGCCACATCATATTCAGACGTGACGTCAACGTGCTTAGCATTCACAGGGTTTCAAGGACTAGCGGGAGCATCCACTTTGGTGCAGAGTGCGGACGGTGCCACCGGGGTTATACCAGAGGCTGGACTCCAGAGTCGCATACTGGCAGCGGCAATGTGAGTGGCGTCTGCTTGTTGGCTAATATTGATTGATTTAAAACAGGGGTTGGGATTTAGTATAGAGGGGGGACTCTATAGTTCAGTAGAGGAGGGTGCTAGGGTTTAGAAGTAGGGGATGCTTTTATTTTTTTTTTTTTTTATACTGTACTTTTCAAAATAAACCTATGATTCTCTAAAAATTATTTTTTTATTTTTTTTTGCAGCCTACTTACACTTAAACCTTGTTTATTTGGCCCGTGCTAGACTTTGAGCTTGACTTACTTGCACTACAGCATAGTGTTTTATTGCTCTTAAATATTAAACTGTTTGATGTAATAATGTGGAATCCTCTAGACCAGCAAAGAGAAACATAAAACAAATTTATTTATTTTTTTTGTTTTTTTTATAGGGGGGTGGGGGTAGGGGGTGGGAGGTGCAGGATACTGGCTATAGGTGAGATTAAATGCCGAAGGATATTGTTCACAAAATTCTTTTATAACGTACGTCAATCCTAGTTTTTTTTTTTTTTTTTCTTACTTTGTAAACATTTTTGATGTATGGTTATATTTTAAACGTATATTTATTTCAGTAAAGCAATGTTTGCAGATCAGAATAATGTTTAGACTGTGACGCTGTCTGTGCTTTTTAAAACCATTTCAGTGATTATCAAAGTTTATAAATGTTTACTTCTCTGTAGAATTTAAAACATTTTTGTGATGCAAGACTTTTGAGATTGCTGTTGAAGAATAAATAAATTGTGTGGAGGGGTTGGAGGAGAAGACTGGAAACAAATCCCCCAAATCAGGTAAATTGTCAGGTAGTTTATTGGATTAGCTGGTAGTAAATGGCTTAGAACAGTGACAAGTCCATAAACAGATGGGCACAAGTTATGAGGTTTTCTTGTTGTGTATATAAGAGTTGCAAGAAGTAAAAACACAGCAGAGAGTAGCAAAAGTGAACATCGCAAGTATTGAAGAACAAAGCCATATTCTAAATTTGCTGATTGGTGCGTTAAGCTGGTTTGCCGAAGTGCTCGACGTGTCCGGAGTGTCTCATGTTTCTGAAACTTTATAAAAGTCTGCAGTTTTATAACTGGGGGCAGAAACTTCAGTCAGAGAGCCGAGGAGATTTTTTTTTCGTTCTTCTGTTAGCTCCATAGTGGAAATTTATTGGTAGGTGCCCTGGGCTACTACACGGCTGCCTTAGCCACTTCTCATACGAAAGCCTTGTTCTCATGCGCGATCAATGAGAAGCGCCTGACTGGTGTATTCCCCAGCACAGAAGGAAAGTCTGTGTCAATGAAAGAGGGGAGGGTTTGCAAAGGCTGCAGACAGCAGTTCTGAAGAGCTGTTTTTTTTTTTGTTTGTTTTTTGTTTTGTTTTTCATATACTTCCAAAGAAATCATGCAAAAAATACATGGGGTTATATCTACTATTTTAAAAATGGCGCACACAGCCTTGACCCTGAGTCTGCCCTGGGAGGGGCTACAGTGGTCACCCAAGTCCGGACTAGTGCTGCAGTCCCCGTGCCGAAGGAGAGCCCTGCCACACAGAGCCTTACGCATGGACTATCCAACCGCCCTGCTCCCAGTCTGGCTATTGGTGGACCCAGGCACCACTTTCCTGACTGGAATAGGCTAAAACTCTGCATCATAGCAAGCTGTCAGACCCCTGAATTCAGCTTAGCAACCTCTTACACGCAATTGGCTCATGGTTGTTCTTACCTAATTAATGTTGCCTCCACTTCACAATGGGAGCGGTCGCAGTGGTCATAACTCAGTTTTTTTTGTTTGTTTTTTTACTTTTATTTTCTAATATGCACAGCAGACTTAGCATTTACCTTGCAAATACCTTCTCGTGTCTAACTAGCCTGAAACACATGTGCATAGTCTGTGCAGGTCAGTCTTTGCATATACAGCCTGGATGTTTAAACAGCTCCTACATGGTTAATTGACTAACGTGATATAACACGCTTGTTAGATCCAGCATTTAACCACATTATTTTTCATGACCCTTGACTAATCTCATACTCCTGTTTTATAAGCTTGTTTTACAATTAGTCTTCACATCCACACCACTCACGTTGTCTAGGTAGCTCATATTGACCACAAGCTGCATTACTGTTATATTCTATACCTTGGACACGTTAGACCAGCATGTGACCTAGCTACATAAACAAAAATATGTGCAGTGATCTTGTATGCCCTGTACTTGTTAACGCATGTATATTATCATCCTTGCTACTGCTGTTGGGGCACTGCAAGAAAGTGTGTTAATTATTTGCACCACAACAATAAAGAATTGGAAAAATAAAATAAAGTTGTGTTCCTTTGATTTTCTGGTCAGGACCAGAACATCTTCAAATGATGATAAACTAATGGTGCTGCCAATCAGATGGTAAGGTCCGGACTTTATAGAGAGATAAAAGTAAAAATAGATATTTTTTACATGACCTTCAAAGTAGTATATTTATGAAAGCATTGCCAACAAAAGTGATGCAAAGTGTTTAACATCGAGCTATCACTATGGAAACAAATTCAATTCTCTACCTGAATCCTTTTATTTCGGCAGTAAATATCCCTCTTTTAGAACTTCTGCATTGCTTCTTTTTTCCCCAGCAAGTATTCTTGTTTCATACACCATGGACGCACATTGAGGCATTGCTGTTTTATTTAAATGGGCAATCAAATCTGGATTTGGCACCTTCCTTGTTAATTGGTAATGCAAAGCAAATACGAGGCTCTTACATGCACGTTCGGACCCTGGAGGTATCTTAGTTGAAAATTAGAAATAGATTAAAATTGTTCACGTTGATGCAAATTGCTGGCATGGGCTTTTTCCTAGATTTGCATTAGAGATGGATTGTGCCATATATTTTTATAATGAAGGAGTTACTGGAAATCTGAATCTGCTTGCATGTTCCCAGCTTGGTGCTTCTTCCATCATTAGAAGAGGAAGACCTTGACAGGTGCTAGGGTGCAAGTGATCAGGACTGGTGCAAGGATTTCTCCTGCCCTAGGCAAAGATCCATTTAACCATCCTCTCATGTCACTCATTGACAGACATACACATACTCACTCATTGATAGACATACATACACTGACTGACTGACAGACACACAATTTTTCGCATATATTCTGCGATGGTTAAACAGTCCAACCTAAGGTTACTCTACGAGAAGCCTTTGATTGGACCTTGTGTAGTTGCAGTGACATCAGATTGGAGCGTGTAATGAGCTTTTCAGAGCAATAGATTTAAAGTAAATAATACCTTATTTTAATAGTTATTTCAAGGGGCACCGTAATAGGGCATTATTCAGTAAAATACATTTAGGGATGCAAAGGGTTGGGGAAATCCATGAAAGTAAACTTACAGTTCATGATATCCACCTACAGTTAAGTAACTCGGGTCGGGATTAATTCCTGTGCTGATTATACAGTGGACAATTACCCTGGAATGTTTTGAAATTCCAATGGAATGCCTTTGGAGAGATGTGTGAAGCATTATGGGAGAAAATCCTCAGATTAAAATCTTTCTGTAAACGCGTTCTATGGAGTGGGTAGACCTTCGCGTCCAGAGAACCCGAAGACATTCTTATCCTGAGTCCTACACGGCGTTGAAAAGGCCAAGAGAGTTGTCATTTAAAATCTAATCTAATCTTTCTCAAAGGGCATGTTATGTGTTTTATTATGAAGGAAAGATTGAATTGCATTTGCCTGCATGGAATAGGTCAATGTTTTTATTTTATTTTTTATTTTCTGTTTGTATTTATTTTATAGAGACAGAATTACAATTACAATGATCCTATAGCAAACTGGGAGAGCCTCACATTTATCAAGCAGTATAGATGAAATGATAAATTAGATGATTCTTGGCACTTTAAATATTTATAAACTGCATTACCCATAATGCAAGGCTTCCTCCTCTGGGGTTTTTGGAGAGGAGTAGAATAAGGTATTTGGTGAGTTTGGGGTCCTTAAAGCGGCAC